GAGAGAGAGACGAGAGAGAGAGAGAGAGAGAAGAGAGAGAGTGAGAGAGAGAGAGAGAGAGAGAAGAGAGATAGAGAGAGAGAGAGAGAGAGAGAGAGAGAGAGAGAGAGAGAGAGAGAGAGAGAGAGAGAGAAAAAAAACAACTTTATTTATTTAATATAGCCTAGTTGTACAAAATAAAGTAAGAAATCATTCCAATGTGTACTATAGGAGAGTAAACAGTTTAAAAGGGGAGTGATTAGTAATGCATAAATCAAAAGAAAGAATGCTAAATAGGTAACATAAGATAAGAATAAACAAGTTTAAATGATTTGTTATTGGTTGTGATCATATTCTAAAGATGTTTGGATTATTGAAAAGTATACAGCTCCCTTTCATAGAGTGTTGAGAGATGTATCCATAAATTCATTTTGTGCTCAAAGTGCACCAGATTGATGCATTTAACTTCAACATTTTAAAAAAAATCATACATTTTCTTTTCACTGAAAACGGGTCCCACAGACCCAAACAGCACACAAAGGTTAAAGGTTAAACAAAGGTTAAAGGTAAGCATATAATAATGTTAAAATGTGCTAAATATATACACTGCAAAAAAACAGAAAAAGAGGAGTAAAAGTAGCCCCCGACTTGTTTTATTTTTTGAAAGTAGCCCTCATCCTAAAAGAGGTTGGAGACCCCTGTTATAGTTAGAACGATACATTTGACCATTTTAAGCTTGGTCTACCATTTTATTGGAGCGGCGAGGAACAGGTGGGGCTTGAAAAGTCCCACCTGTTCAAAGTGGGGAATGACAGAAAGAGTTTGAGAACCACTGCAGTATAGTGTCTTGTTCCGTATGCATGGTTTGGTATGCCACATCCAGTTTTACCCAAAACGTTTTTACAGCGCCTGCATGTGTGGTTATAAGCAATAGCATGCTAGCTGGCTTAGCAAGGTTAGCTAGATGAATTAAACTCAATTGATAAATAAAATGTCTCAGCTAAAGTCGGGTATATCTGTGGAAACACTACAAACATTTATCTTACAATGGCATTACATAAATGTGTTAAGTAGTGAAGCCAAACTAAAACAGACTGATTGGGAGTACTTTTTGCTCAGAAAGTAATGACACATAATGAAAAAATGAAATGTCAAATGATGTTTTCGCTTGTATTTGTATATTGTCCTTGATTAGACAGGCAAGTATGTGAAAAGAAACACATATTTGTATTATTGCATTTTAATTCAACATCACGACTTATAACATGCAGTACCTAGGTGGAATGTTATTGTGCTATTTTCAAACAACATTTTTCAAATGTTTATATTATCCATAGTAGAACAGGAGAAGGAGACATTGATTATTTAGATATAAATGAACCTTTTATGAACCATGGTTTATTTCAGATGTAGTAGACATTTTAAACATTACACTATTGCGGCTTTCACACCAGCGCTTTTCCCTTTCTAGCTCCGAGCTAGAGCTTTTCTGATTCAGCTCCGGTTTCCCTTTTCTGCTCCCGCTCTGTTCACACCGCCCAGCACCCGACTGGTGCTGCCGCTGCTGCGTCATGACGTCATCGTTTACATCGCTGATTTGCTCCCCAACGGCATTACGGCGCTCACAACAACAACAACAACGGGGAACTGCGTCGGGTCGATGATCGTGTTGCTTTTAATCACACGAAGCCAGAATAAATTGAATAACGACTTCTCCAACCTTATACTTTTCTCCAGAGTGCCGTGGTTCATTGTTTATTCATGTGTTTCTGCAGCATTTACCGACCGCTGCAGTGTTGGCTGCTCTTCTACGGGAGTTTATTCTCCTCCGTTAGCTCCCGGTTAGCTCACACTGCCGCGGCCGCTCTAAAGTATTCACTGTCCGACTCACACAAGCAGCTGATACATATCCCCAGTTCCCCTTAGCCTAAGTGAATGTGTGTCAGTCTGAATTGACGCTGTTTGGTATCACAACGCTGTTATGAAAGTTTCTCTGGTATAAAATGGGTGATGTTAGCATAGCAACCGAAGCTAAACTGACTACTTGCTATTGCTATCCTATTGTGGCATAAACCGTTTTCACATTTTACCAGCGTATTTTGATTATGATTCTACTTGTGATAGTCGGACACGACAACCTGTGCAGCCCATGTATTGATTCCATCCGATAAAACAAAACGTCTGCCTCTCTCCACAATGATCAATAACAGTGAACGGATGGTCAAAGTAAGGTACAAATAAACAGAATCACACGAAGCCTGGTTAGTGTTGCCTGACTTTATAAAGTGTGTTTATAAGCACTACTGCTTGTAGGCAGGCATGACAGTCGACCCATGTTCAGGGGAGGTGGGTTTAGTTTCCTGCACGCCTCGACGTAAGAGAGACGTAAGTGACGCCACCTCTTAGCTCCGAAGCTCTTGCCTCTAGACCGACAATTTTTTGGAGCTGGAAGTGAAGCGGATTGCGGAGCTAAGAGCCGGCGCCGCGGCGGTGTGAACAGGAAAAACCGGCGCTTTTCGCGCTGATGTGAAAGGGGCATTTGAGTCATTTCTATAAAAGGCCTTCTGAGCCAGCCCTTTCTCCACACTGTAAGGACGCTGCATCTTTCACAGGAGTGGTAAAACAATGTGCAAATACAGCACTGAATCCTCACATTTTATATTGAGTCTTTATGATCCATATTTGAATGGACCGTGAATGCTCAACCATGACGGTTTGCTCACTGCTAGGCTTTTATGTGATATTGATATAGGAATTTTATTTTGAATGTTTTTGCATATTTCAATGTGTGTGTTTTACAACCATCTAGACTTAGATATCTTGTTTCTTATTCAACACACTTTTTCTATAAGTCAGACTATGTTGTGTAAAACATGTTAAGCTGAGAGTCTGAAAATATGTAAATGAACATAAATGGGATAAAAAAATAATAATTCCCATGATAATGATGTATTTCTCTTTTCCTTATGCAAGACCTGGGTCTGTTCTCCACCAAATCCCTGGTGGAGGCCAATGCGGAGCATGCAGTGGAGGTGAGGACCCAGGTTCAGCAGCCTGCCGATGAGAACTGGGATCACAATGGATCGGCGCAGACGTGGCCCTGTGAGAGCAGCCGCTCACACACCACCATCGCCAAATACGCCCAATACCAGGCCTCCAGCTTCCAGGAAAGCCTACAGGTAGACATTTCCCCTCATGGCAACACATGTGCACACATACATGGAGATTAATGTGCAATGTTTAGTGAATATATTATAACATGCATTATTAATTGACTTTCAGCAATATATTTGTTCTTAAAGGCATAGTGGGGATGTTTTAATCACCTGTGTATCTTTTCATTATTAAAACGTTCTTTCCATAATCCTGCTGATTTTAAGCAATGGGCATAGAAAGTAAAGGAAGTACACATCATCTTTTGTTAATGACTAAGCTAGTAAAGTATCATCTATTTTAGCTGTTGGCCAACATGTCAGCTAAGCTCATGTAGATGTGTTATAGGATGAGAATGAGAGCGAGAATGAAGATGACGGAGAGCAGTCCGAGTCTTCAGAAACATCCGCCGCCACAAAAGCAGCTCTGACATTTGCCACGGTTAAAGTCAGTCCTGCCTCCACTACAACTAAAGCCAACTCTGCTTCCATCTCCAGCCCAGAGGAACATGCCAACAGCACACCCAGGTTGGAGCAAAACTCCCTTCTGTCTGTGCAAATAATTCAATATTTTACCGTTAACAAAACTCAACCAATACTTTGTTTTTTCCCCCAGCTCTGAGCAGAAATCAGCCGGAAAGATAATAAAATTTGGGACCAATATTGATCTCTCTGACCCTAAAAGGTGAGATTGTGTTGTAAAACCCTGCCTGCTTAAACTGAGCTCGATGAGGCAGCTTGTCGTTGATGGTAGTTTTCATGTTTTTTATAGGTGGAAACCCCAGCTGCAGGAGCTGCTGAAGCTGCCTGCTTTCATGCGGGTGGAATCCAGCAACAACATGCTCAGTCACGTCGGCAGCACCATCCTGGGCATGAACACCGTCCAGCTCTACATGAAGGTGCCAGGCAGCCGCACTCCAGGTCAGTGTGTGTGACTGACAAGTAAACCGCTGTATTTACGAATGAAGGAATAGTACATAACATTCACTTAGTTATCATTTATCTTTTTTATATTCATTATCCTATAACTATGTTGAGATATTGGCAGATATAATACATACAGCTTACTTTAAGTTACTAAAAGTGGTCATTGTTTGCTGAAAGTAAACTGAAAATAATATGAATACATCTGGAATATCAGATTGACCAGCAATTGTGAATGACTACTGTATGACCTAAAAAGGCAATATAAAATGCTTTTAAATGTCTTATTATTGTGTTATAAAGCATTGCAATTATAACTAATAAGTACCTATAACTATGAAGATACCGTGCCATAAGTATTTTTATAATGCATTATAAAAACGGGCGTCACAGAACGAAGTTTTTAAGTGGATTAAGTGACTGGTTTGTGCTTCTTCTCAGGTCATCAAGAGAACAACAACTTCTGCTCAGTCAACATCAACATCGGTCCTGGTGACTGTGAGTGGTTCGCCGTCCATGAGCACTACTGGGACGCTATCAACAAATTCTGTGAGAAGTAAGTGGATAGGCTGTTTAACAACACATGTAGCATTAGCTACTGTGTCTGTGCCTGCTTAAACATATATTTCATTTTTATGTTGAATTGAAAGGGACAAGTACAGATAAAAACAACGACAGTTGCAGAAGAGTTGTCCAATGCACTGTACAGCTGTACATAGTTAAAGCTCATTTCAACATCAGTTCTTTGATGGGCATAGATAGCACATAAACATCTGCTGTGTATTCAGGTAGGGATTTCCAGAGCCTTTGATTGAATGTGCATTTTGTGCAAAGGAACAGAGTCTTATTGTACTATTTCTTTCTGTATTGTGAAGTCTAAGTATGCATTGTTTTTTTCCCCCTCAGGCATAAAGTAGACTACCTTACAGGGTCCTGGTGGCCGGTCCTGGAAGACCTCTACAGCGCCAACATCCCTGTGTACCGCTTCATCCAGAGGCCGGGGGACCTGGTGTGGATTAATGCAGGGACGGTGCACTGGGTCCAGGCAGTGGGCTGGTGCAACAACATCGCCTGGAATGTCGGACCACTCAACTGTACGTTACCATGAGAACCCAAAACACTATGGAAAAACAGAAGCATAAAAGTTGACAGGTGTTGTTCTTAATGTCAGATTACAACCTAAATATACTGTTTAATACGCTCACCCCTGTTTTCTCTCCCAGCCTACCAATACCAGCTGGCCCTGGAGCGCTACGAGTGGAACGAGGTGAAGAAAGTGAAGTCCATCGTTCCCATGATCCACGTGTCCTGGAATGTGGCTCGCACTATCAAGATCTCTGACCGGGATACCTTCAAGATGGTCAAGTAAGATTTCTCTTTTTTATTGTTTTATTTGTAAATGTTATTTATTATATGTTAAAAAATAATCCTCTGCCCAAGGCTGTCCCATGGTACGTACATATTATCTAGTTGTCTGCCCTTCATCTGTTCTATTCTCACACATACAATATCAAATTTAGCAAAAACGACTTTTGTTTTTTTTGTATCTTTTATTATGTACTGCAGCCGTTCTTACAAAGTATGTACTGTTGCAAACATTATGATTTCAATTGTGACATACATCAAGAAGTGATATGCTAATTATGAGACATGTATTTTAGGATAACATGGTGGCAATAAGGGGCACACCAAATGAGATAGAAAACAATCTAAATAAATACATGAAATACAATACGATGAAAAAGATCATATGTGACCCGCTCTATAGAAATCAGTCGGAAGTCGCAACGGATAAAATAAACGTGGATTTGCGTAAAAAAATAGTTTTTCGGGGTTCGGGTGTTTTGTTTGATTTTAAATAAACAAAGTCAGTTTCAGAATGTGAAACTTTTATTTCCAAAATCACACGATAAATACATTTTTGAAGCTTGTAAAGGGAAGATGACACCTCTCACTCACGCTCTGCTGTACCGCAGCGCCGCTCCCCCCCCCTCCGGCTGAAATTATGAATGTAAGAGTATAGTGATCATAAATAACACGGCAGGGTCCGTTACAGTTTGTTTTCATCTGATTTCAATTAAACAAAGTCTCGGCTTTCAGTATATTACACTTGTTTTTATCAAATTCAGGTGATAAATACAACTTTGAAGCTTCGGCATAATTACAAGCGGAGAACGGAGTAACGTAACGTCACAGCAGGCATAACAACAGCCGGTGTTTTCCCCGGGAAACAAACACAATACGCAAAAATACACATACACACACACACACACACACACACTCGCGAGCTTCCCCTACAAACGAAAATATCTTCCCTCCGTACTACTTTGATCATTTGCTCCGCTGTTAGCCAATCATATCGATGGATTCCAGAGAAGAGGAAACTTTGAAGGCCTTTTCCTCAAAATGATGACGCGGTGACAGTCATTATATAATGTGACATATTAATATTTGGAGTACAAAAACAATCCTGATATCATTAGAAAGCTAGGAATCTCCTCTTTCCAACAGTGTATACAACTCAAAATGTGTCTTTGGGGTCAATGCGACTGATTTCAATAATACATTTAATGTCATGACAATTTGTTTTTAAAACATTCTCAGATTACTGAGCTCTTGATAACATCTACTTTGGCATTCCATATCTGCATACCATGAAATCCGAGAGCCTGCGTGTGTTTACATTCCCCACTATCCGCTCCTCCATCTCCCTCAGACACTGCCTGATGCAGTCCATCAAGCACATCCAGATGTTGAGAGAACAGCTGCTGGCTGCAGGGAAGAAGATCAGTTACCAGAGCCGAGTGAAGGACGAGCCCGCCTACTACTGCAACGACTGTGACGTGAGTCTCCCGTCAGGCCATACAGGACGTTTAGCATCTGTTTTCATAGAATTAACCGTGTGTGTGTGTGTGTGTGCGCGTGTGTGCGTGCGTGCAGCTGGAGATGTACGACCTGCTGCTGGTGACCAGTGAGAACAGCACTAAGAAGAGCTACGTGGTGCACTGTGAGGACTGTGCCCGAGCCAAGAGCCCGTCGCTGGGGGGGGTCGTGGTGCTGGAGCAGTATCGAATAGAGGAGCTGACGAAAATCTATGACGCCTTCACACTGGTAGGTCTCATTATCGATCAATAACCGTAATGCTTTTTTCAGATAGACAAGGTACAAAAAGGGCTTCATACAGTATTGCTTCATACATATGTGACCCGCTCTATCGAAATCAGTCGGAAGTCGCAACGGCTCATTTCAAAATAAACGTGGATTTGCGTAAAAAACTATTTTTTCGGGGTTTAGGTGTTTTGTTTGATTTTAAACAAACAAAGTCTTGGCTTTCAGAATATGAAACTTTTATTTCCAAACTCACACCATAAATACATTCTTTAAGCTTGTAAAGGGAAGATGACAGGCAATCTGCTCTTCCGCAGCACCGCCCCCCTCCCTCCGGCTGACATTATGAATGTAAGAGTATAGTAATCATCGATAACACGGCAGGGTCCGTTACAGTTTGTTTTCATCTGATTTCAATTAAACAAAGTCTTGGCTTTCAGAATATTAAACTTGTTTCGGCAAATTCAGATGATAAATACAACTTTGAAGCTTCGGCATAATTACAAGCGGAGAACGGAGTAACTTAACGTCACAGCAGGCATAACAACAGCCGGTGTTTCTCGTGAGGGTTTTCCCCGGGAAACAAACACAATACACACAAACGCAAAATTACAAACACACACGTATAAACACACACTCGCGAGCTTCCCCCAGACCAGTAATCCAAACAAAAATAGCTTCCCTCGGTAGTATTTTGATCATTTGCTAATAATCAATCAGATCGATGGATTCCAGAGAAGAGAAAACTTTGAAGGCCTTTTTCTCAAAATGATGACTCGGTGACAGTCATTATATAATGTGACATATTTTGCTTAATATTTGGAGTACAAAAACAATCCTGATATCATTAGAAAGCTATGAATCTCCTCTTTCCAACAGTGTATACAACTCAAAATGTGTCTTCGGGTCAATGCGACTGATTTCGATAGAGCAGGTCACAAATGAAATGTCTAGTTTCAATGCATCCCTTAAGAACTCTGTAGAGATCTAAACTGGGTTTATAAAGGGATACGTCGCTGTTACAGGGGACTAAATGAAATGGAAGGTTATCTTCACTAAAGTAAAGGATTTCTCTATAATTGTTATAATACATGTGATAATGTGAGGACATAACTCAACAAATAATAACACATACCTGTAGTCATTTAAAATATTATAAAAAAGGAAAACGTTACATTTTATACCTTTTTTAATACTGGTGGCTTTCACAAGGTACAAAATGTTGACAATTCACTGCGGATTTTCTTTTATACAAACATCAGAGAATACCTCACGGTATGTTTTTGGATATCAGATATTTGTAGGGGCCAGAAATACTAGTTTTCTATGTAATAAGTGCTCTCTCATGACTGGAACACACACACACACACAGCTTTTCTAGTTGCCAGCTGAGCTCTGTCTCCCCCTCTTGTCTCCCCCCCTTTGTTCTCCCCCTTCAGGCTCCATCACCTGTTTCCAAGTGAGGACTCTTCCCTGGCGTCTTTCAGCCATAAACCAAAACTCTAATGGCAGCACAAATATTGTCTTCAAGGCAATCTATTCCTTCAAACACTCTCTGAATCAGCCAATCACGTTTACTCAGTATTGTTTACATCACACACTAAGGTATGGATACTCAGCCAATCCAACTATAGCTCACTGTCTTCCCCATACCAGCTGCTGATTGGACGTGTGTTTTGAAATAGAATGACTAGACTGGTACTTCCCATGAAAAGCATTTCAGATATGTTAAAAACAAAACAATATGTGAGCACTGCTAGCATTGAAAATCAGGTTATATGTTTATAACGGACACTGCTGTGATTCAAAAGCATCTAGTAGCCGGTTCTTTGTATAAATTCAGGTACTTTTATGCAAATTCAGTAGAACTTTTTTTACACCACTCTAGTTATTCTATGTGTCCATGAATTTGCTGTGATTCTGTCGTACCAGCAGGGGAATCGCTTCACAGGAGAAGTAGCTGATTGTCACATCGTTTTGGTTCCTGTTTTTGTTTGCTATTCGGGTAAACTCCGACATTTCTAATTCCTGTCTGTATACTCTTTGAGGTGCTACTCCAATCTAATTTATTCCTGTTAGATACTTAAACAAGTTTTACCAGCCTATAGGTACACCACATTGGCCTTGAAAACTGTATTTAGAGTTAATTAGAGGTTTAAACACACAAATAAGGATTTATTTACTGTTGGTATAAAAAAAAAAGAACTTGTATTGGTTTCTCTTAAATACGGGTTAAAAGACGACTAAAACGGTTTTACTGTAGTTGGAAATCAAGTTTGTAAATGATAAAATAGTTTTTTGTTTTGTATCCCTCTAGTTGGGTGGTTTTCTACGATACAACCAGAAAACAGTGTTGTTTTTATTTTTGGAATGGGAAAACTATCCCAGTTTTATACCTCTTTTGTTGCTTTGTTCTCATTTCTAGACAGAAAAAACAAATAATTGTAGATTCTGAATGAATTGATTGGATACACAGTGGTGTGCATAGACGGGGTACAGAGCAGAAAGGGAGGGTCAGCATTGATGTTAATGAACTCGATGAAGTGCCAGTTTCCGTCTGGGGAAGTCATTTGTCCAAAGAGACACACAATCATTTTGTTACAATGAAAAAGGCAATGAAGCCAAAAAGACGAGCGGACTGAATGACACCTCGTTGTTTTCATTTTGCCCCAAACATCCGTCCTGCTCAGTGCACTGCCAGCTTAATATACTGTATTTCCAGTTTGACATGTTATAGAGCACATTAATTGAAACATGACAAGAAAGGCTCAGTCGTTTTTTTCCCCTCAACTTCAAACAGTACTTCAAAATAAAGGGTGTCATTTTGTTGAGGCTAGGCTAAACTGCAGAAGCCCTGAAAGGGGGGGGGGGGGGGGGGGGGGGGAAGTATTTTTATAATACAAATGTTGGCCACAAGAGAGAGGCAGAAGTGCACCAATACACCATGTTCTTAAAAGGACTAAAAGCATTCATGTGTCATGCCACATGAGTTTAAATATCTCCATGCACTCTAAAACAAACTATATATATTTTTAACAATATATGTAAATTATATATTGTATATATTTCTTTGAAGAAAGACCAAAATGTTTAAGCCGTATTTAGTGCATGGGGTAGTGGTGCAGTTCAGCCTCTTGTGGCCAAAATAAGTATTACAACAACAAATACCTGTTTGGCAGATTTAAAAAAAAACTTTGACATTCTTAAAATTCAAGTTTGTACAATAAACACAGGAGAAACAACAATGTATATCAGACATCGGTAATGTGTCATCAGAACTATTTGTTCATCACATAATTATCTTTAGCTTCATACATCAAATGTAATTATTACCTTTACTGCCCAGGTGATCAAATGCAATCATTTGATCACCTGGGCAAGGCCTATCTTTTCCAGTTCTAGTATTCCTGCTGTTTTAATGAATTCCCAACAAAGGACGACTTTCACATTTTCGCCCTTCCCTCATTAGTCTGTGCACACCATCTACTGTACATAATGTATCTGTTTGCAGGTTCTCGATATGACTTATGTATGTAGTTTTGTTCTCAATCAAATATTGAAATTGTTTGTGGTCGAATCTCTCCACATCAGACTTTGTGGTATGTTGTTGCTGTATTATAAAACAACCTAAAATATCCTTTTTCACTCCAGTTAAATTACTGCAATGGGAATTTCATCCCACTTTTATACCTCTTTTTGTTGTCAGTTTCAGTTTTTGGCATTACAGAGAAAATGGAAAATTGTAAATGGTGACGTTATTTATACTGTACATGGTTGTTTTCTTATATATTTATTGCATATCAAAGGGCACTTCACTTGATAAGGGGCTACAAGGTATTTTAAAATTGTAGTATGGGTGTATTGTGTGGATAGAGGAAGTGCAATCAGGGGGCTGTTTAATTTTCATGGTGCTAGACCCCTCCTTGCCCCCCTCATTAAACAGCATATAACAATATACAGTATGAACTTTATCGGTGATAAAACTGGTGCTTAGATCCATTTCAACACAGTTTAGTGCTAACAAAAATGGAAAGATGTATTTGTACTGTATCAAATTCATTCAAGATCTTTTTTAATGTTTTTTTCCATTGTATGAAATTCATAATCTTGTGAGGCATTAGTGGTTTTATGATGCACATTAGCAGTAGTTGTAATTCTTGACACCTTTTGCAGAGACTTTTAGGGATGTGACTTTTAATGACGTCGAGGTTTTGTTTTGTGTCTTGTCCTCATTAGTATTATTTGAAGGATGGTATAATGCTCTTTTTTGCTGTTTGATTTATGCTGCACTTATTGTTTAAAAAAAGAACTCGCATAGAAGAAAACCTGAGCCAGACCTGTCTTAAATCCCTCTGTGATTTTTCTGTGACATATTGTATTGTTGTTCAAGAAAATAAAATGTTTTGATAAATTATTCAAAAATGAGTCTTTCCCTTTGTTTCCACATTGCAGTATGAACCGGTCATTATCACTGTTCTGCAGAGGTACACAGGCTTCTGGTGTTATTGTGTGGTCCATGTTAGCTTTTAGCCCTGCTAGCAGCGTGGCTTTAGGGATGGCCGGGTCAGTGAGTTCATCCCTTTGGTCTAGCCTGAAACATCTTCTGAGATTTAGCACAGATATGCATGGTGACCTAAGAATCCTAAAGGCTTTGCTGGTTCTCTGATCTTTCCTCCAGCACCACCACCATATGAACGTTTGACTGGTTCTGTGAAAGATCTCTTGATTAGCAAAAGACAGATATTGGTGTTTCCAATTGGAGGATTTCTAAAGACTTTTGTGACCCCTAGCCTATCTTCAAATGCCAAACTATTTCTCTTTATTTACAATACAAAATCTTCAATTTGAGTCAAAATAGTAACTGTGAATGTGTTCCATGGTTAAATAACCATATTTCTGCAAAAATACATTTGTATTTCTGCAAAATATGGGATCAAATTGTTGTATGTATAGTAAAAAAAACTACCGATACGCTACATTAGCATCAGCATGTTGGCTATTAGCTGATATCATAGTTGTAGGCTCTTAGTCGTTTAATGTTATATGTATGCAAGTGTATTACCACTTTCACATGCTAATACACTCTCATTTGGGTTAATAATACCACAATGGAAATAATCAATAACAATACAGGATTGGGTGTTTTTAGCATTGTATATAACCATATTATTCTAATGTAACTATTGTAGGCTATATACTTGTATAGCAGTGGGCTGCTGAGTGAGTCAGAGTGAGCAGACTTTGTAAAGGCTCATGCTCTCTCCCACAGTTCAAACAGCTCATGTTTCAGCTGTCTCCCACTCTGCAGCTGGCCACTGGGTGGTTCCACTGGACCAGCTCCTCAAGGCTGTCTTCAAAGGGTATGTTGAGAGAGAGGAGAGAACAGAACTCATTTATTTTCCCTCCGACACTTTCCTGACACCATCTTGACAGAGCTGCAGCTGCTCCAAATAGTTGAGAAGTAATCATCTAAAAGAAAGTAATGAAATAATATCAAACTAAATTATTGGATTGTTTTTATTTTTAGACTGTGAGGTAGTGGTGGAAGAGGTACTGAGTACAAGTAAAACCATTTAATAAAATAAGTGAACCCCTGAGTGTAGGAATACTCAAATAGTAGTCGTAAAGTACAAAGTGTTACCATCAAAATATTCTTAAAGTACAAAAACAAAAATGCGTCTTTATGCCCATTTCAGAATAATGTATACATTTTTGGATTATAATTATTGATGGATCACTTTGTTTATCTTTTCAATCTTACAGCTGGTTATGGTGTAGCTGATTTGTTTTACTTTTTGTAGACTGCTTTGTAAAACTATTTTCTTACTTACAACAATTCATCTTACAGTATTTGTTTACATTATATTTTGTATTTAATAATTCAAAGTTAGTAAGTGAGTAAATGATCAAATAAAAGTCATGGAGTAAAAAAAGGTCAATAATTCCCTTTGAGAAGCAGTGGAGTAAAATAATAACATGAAAATACTACTTTATATTTTAAAACCACACTTTAGTAACTACTCCACAATTGTAGGTAATAATGTGACCTAAATGATCTGACCAAAAAAGAGACACACCTTCATACCGAACCTAATACTGAAACATATGCTGTCAATAATACAAATCCAGGTATAAAGTAATACAGTGACTAACAATAAAACATTTTTGGAACAGCAAATAGCAACATTCTTCAGGGCGGTACTCTCATTTCCTTTTCTGTGTGTAAACCTGAGATGTTTCTTTCTGGTTTCTATTTTTGCCACCAGTCTGGAGGGTTAGAGGACAGGAGACTGCCAAACTGCAGATCTCGTCAGGAACGTGGACACAGCAGCGGATATCCCGGTTCCAAGGACAGGAAGACTGCTCTTCCTCTACCAACCCCCTCAGACATTGACATACGCTTTTAAACAACACACTCTGTGGCATTGTTAATGACATAACCTCCCTTTGCTCCTGCATTTAGCCGGCACGCTAATGCCATAGTCTCTTTGATCATTTGTTTCTTGTAACGACTGTAAAAATACACATAGCATCTCCAGGGAATATTTATCTACCCCTGTAAACAAATAGTAAATACACTGTGGGATGAAAAAATGAGTCTTCATATCAAAATACTAATTCCACTCTTTGAACTGAGCCCCTCACTTTCTTATCAGCCAGTCCCCTGATGGCTTCTTTCCCCCACCAATTTAGAGAGTGCCCCCACCCCCATTCTCATTTCCTTGTGTTTTCTGAAAGCCGAGCTGTTTTTCATCAAAAGGTCAAGGGTCAATACTCTCCAGCAGCCCTGCCTTTCCCTAAGCCTTCTGAATGACAGGGTTTGTGATTCTTGGAGTATTTGAGTAGTCTAATTGTTCACACCCTTTTTCAGAACAGTATAGTATGACTATAGCATGGCCTCAGAGATGGATTACTGAGCAGGTCTACCCCCCCCAGCCTTCCCCTACAAAATGTCACTTAAAGACACATCCACGACGAGTAAAGAAACTCAATTGACCCAAAAGAAACATCAAACTACTTAAAAACTGCAAAAGGACACACAGAGACTCACTGAATGTAAAAAGCAAGACTCCAAAAGAGACGCCAAAAGAATACAAAAAGGCGCAAAAGACAAAAATAATTGCTGACTGTTCCTTGTACCTAATGGAACAGTCAGTCTTAGCAACTCATTGAGTTTACTGGCAGATTGTCAGCTTTTGTTTCATGAATATGAAATATAAATCCAGCTCTTCTTGTTTAGAATTTCAAAAACCACCTTATCAGTTTTTTGACAGTGGAGTAGAGAAAGTGAGTAAGGGTGCAAAGTGTTGGGGATTGGACAGCATACCCTGACTCCTCTAATCTCTCCAAATAAACACTCTTCCTCCCTCCCCCTGGTTCCAGGGGTTATCACAGAGCCCCTCCACTGCTCCCCTGCCCAGACCCCTTCAGCAGCCACTAACACAGCACAGCCTGCTCTCTGTGCATCAGAGGCAACACAGGATACACGCTCACACACACACACACACTCATAAACACTTACGCACTCAATCATATCTCAAACTGGAGTCGGAGTGAGGAAACAGAATGTCAGGGAAGGAAGCGCTGAAGCCAGTGGGAAAGCAGAATTTTCCTCAAGTATTCAGAGCTCTTTTCTGACCCAGTCAACAGGAGGTCTCAGGAAGACATCTGGGTTCACAAGAGCGGGCAAATACCTCAGGGTGGTTTTTAGGAAATATTCCAGAACACTAAAAGGATTGTAGATTTAGTTGAGTAAGTTCACTCTCAAGACCTGGATTTTTGAAAAAGAGAAGCCATACATCAGGAGGACATTCTTTAAATTCTCTTTGTCTATTAGCATTAAACGCTCTCCAGGTTCTTCAGAGTCCCATCACCAGATCTAACGCACAGTGAGTACAACAAGCTCCATCTAAATGTTATTACAACCATGTAAAGGAAAAATGCTATCCTGACCCTGATGAAAAGGACTTTTGTTCTATAATGAATGCAGTACAACATCCTATTGAAACAACTGGCATATGTTTCTTCACTTAAGTTGAGATTGTTGAGAGTTAGTTTGGATTTCCTTAAATTGATCTGGAAATAAGAAGGCTGCTTTAAGGACGTCATCGAAAGGCTAGTGTTTGAGCTGATCCATGGTTAAGGGAAGACTTTGTGACATACAGGCACAAACAGAATTTATACAAGTATTTTAAACAATATTAAAGTATTTAAAAACTGAAGTTGAAAGAAGGTTTTCATGAGATATTGTCACAAACAAGTAATCAGATGATAGAAGGAGTGTACAAATGAGAAGAACTGTACTTTACTTTGAATGATGTTGAAAGACAGACTAAAAGGACTGACTGGTTGTAAAACGTGTTCACATGGTACTTGGCAGAACATCAATAGCTGCTAACACACTTGAGATTAGAAGGAAATGGTGGAACTTGCCCCTGTGGTTTTCTCATCACTGAGTTGACAAACAGAGTGAATTGAGACACAGACTTTTAAACTTTTACCTTATCTATCAGTAATGTGTTAAAAACAAATGTACTAAATCCTTTGCTCTTGGAACATTAAAGTCATAACATTGTTCTGACACTCAAATGACTGATTCATGGAATTGTGTTAGTTTCGCAGCTGTGCATTGTTCTTGGTCGTGGTTATCCTGGCGTTTAGAGGTGGGGTCAGCGGAGAACCATTTCCTCGCACTTAGAGCTGTGTTTAGTTATTTAGCTGAGTTATCTGTGTTGACTTTCCACACCTCTCAGCACATTATTTAAGGAACATTCTTTTAGCATGTCCCTTGATTTCAGTGGTTGATGAATTGGAGGATTTTAATACAGAAAATAGACAAACTATTTAATGGATATGATTTTTCAACAAAGTGCAGAACACTTGGCACTCTACTAAAAACACAGCATCTCTCTACATTGTGAAATGAAAAGACCAGTTTATGCAGACTTCCAATGCTAACAGCAGGATAAATGAAAGCAATCCATACTAACACAAATGTGTTTTCTCTTCAGATGAGCCTATCACGAAACGGGACGTTGGAGAAGAATGCGTCCGAGCCGCCCCAGTCTGAGCGGGGCTCCCCCTCCAGAGCGGGGTCAGGGGTCGTGGTGCCGCCCCCATACTCTCTGGGCGGCACTGAGGCAGCTGACACCCCTCTGGAGTTAAGGGGCTCTTTGGACTGCTGGGCGTGCTCGGTGCTGGTCACTGCACAGAATCTGATCATCGCTCTGATCAATGGCGGGCTGGCCAGCGTCATCTTCGGCATCATCCTCACCCCTTCTCTAGTCATGATCATATTCGGCTTCCTCTGCCACTCCACGGTAACAATCTACTGTCTGCTGCCATTTTATTATTGCAACCTAGCGCTGTGTCCAAATTCCTTACTATGTCCTAATAGTATAAACTCATAATAAAATGTGTCACAATGAAAGTTAAATTGGCCCTATGTTGATTTGTGGGGGTTTCCTTTTCCGGGAGTGTGTTATATATATGTTGTTGTGCATGTAAATGGTCTGCAAAGGCTACAATACCAAATATCTCCCACACACTCCCCCCCCCCCCCCCCCCCCCCCCCCCTGCCTGAAACTCCTCCATTGGACTCCTTTTTTACTTCCATAACATAGTGACAACACTATACAAAACTTGCGCTTCTATTGGCTAGCGCTCCAACAAATTGTATGCTAAGGGAAGGGACATCTCTAAGTGTTTGACCAATCAGAGCTGGGCTCTGCTTTCAGACAGAGGGTGAAAAGAGGTGCTGCAGCACAGGCAGTATGAGGAAAATAAAGAGCTATTTGAAGGAACATTACAGCATGGAGACATGTCACAGTAGAGGCACAAAATACAAATAACCCTAACCCTGAAATTGAGCATAATAGGGCCACTTTAATATACCAGGAATCTTTAGTGCAGCAAAGGATTAATTTTAGACTGACAGTCAAACTGTGACTTGCAATCAAACTGCAGAAGAAAAAGAAAAAATGTTTTCCCAGACATTTGATACTGTTTTCTCAGAGTTATCTGGATCATCCTGCCACTTCATTGTTTATTATCTTTGCAGCTGTGACTGAGCTGCTCTAGTTCCTGTGTGAATATTTGATTACTTACCTTTCCAACGAACACTTGCATCGTGTTCCCCATGTGACGGTGTAAACATTTGTTACACACACGCATACACACGCACACACACGCGCGCGCGCGCACGCACAGAACAACCTAGGGTGAAAATATGGTTTAAGTTTACATTTAGGTTATGGTTAGGGTTACGGTTATTCTTCAACAAATTCGTTTAAATCAATTGAATGTCCACTAAAGTGATGGAAACAAGACCTGTATGTGTGTATTCCTCGATGTTTGCACCATGTCACTCCTAACTCCTTCCCTTCCTTCCTTCTTGCCCTCAGGTGCAGCCCCACGGCACTTCTCTGTACTGCTCAGACATCCTGGATGACGGGGGCTGCGTGGCTCTGCTGGTTGTGGGCTTCCTGCTGCTCACCCCCCTGCTCGTCCTGGCTCTCGCAGCCTTCTGTCGCCTCGCCCGACACCTCCAGCTGGGGATGTGTTTTATTCCCTACAGCCGAGCCGTCTACAAGAACCTGCCGGCCTCCCGCCACAGGAGGGCCGATGCAGGGGGCTGCTGCGGCCAGCAGGGGGCTTCAGAGAGGGAGGGGAAGGGGAGTGTATGGGTGTAGGAACACACAGGAGGATTGGATATGGTTGTAATATGCATCCCACTTAAATAATGAGGGTGGCCTGGCTTTCTTTGTTTGTTTTTTTACCTATTTGCCTCTTGTTTTGTATCATGTTGTACAAAGCCATCATATTTCGTTGGTAGTTTTGAACTCAATGTGGCTCTTTGTTAACAATGAAATGTATTGAATGTATTTTATACCTTTTTACAATAAAGTGTCAGTCGACTTGCAAACTGAAACAGGATGGACTGTGAATTTAGAAGTTTAAAGTTTAAAGAAGCATGATAAACATTAAACAACATTTTGGGGGGACAGATGGGACATTTGCTTAATGCCCACCCTCCCCCAGCTTAAAATGTGTTCCTGTTACCAACGTTGAGACAAAAAGACCCTGCACCCATGCTGAAAACAGTAACGAAGTTTCAGATTTGTGTCCAATGTAAACTGAACTGGAGTGGCATCCGAATGTAAAGGCAAAGCATGTTTTTATGATCTTATCATTTGAATCCAAAGACCTTTGTTCGACAATGTTGTTTCAGCTTTTCTTTAGCTGCCAAACACATGTTGCCTATTCTCCAATGTCTGAGTTACAAGCTACTGTTGGTCTTCATGTTGTAGGTACATGTTATCTGGTCTTTTAGTTATCATTTCTTTATGTACACTGCTTTGAGTTCTACTTAGAAGTGCAGTATATTAGCAGATACATCACACGTCATGTTAACAATTTGGTCCTATTTAACTTTCTTTAAAACTGTTATTAGATCATCATTTTTTGAAAGTTATACTACATGTCTAGATTTTGAATTAATTTTTTGAATTAATTTGTGACCTTCATCTACCTCTACTGGTCATTTTTAGTAATTGCATATGTTTTCCATTTCTTTACAATGCATTGACAAAAAATATTTTCATGATAATGAATCTTCTTAATGTAAAAAGACCCTCAGAGTTAAATAGCTTTTCTTAGCATCATCTTGGAACGACAATCAATAATGTGTTCTGTTCTGCTTTAGCCATTATTGTTATGAAGAGGCGAGTCTGGCCCTTTGTGTTTGTTTGTTTGTTTGTTATCAGTGTAGAAATGGTAATTAGATATAAATACACATGTGGATACACAATTTGATGATGTTTTTGACATTTCTGTTTATTCAATAAGGAGTATCTTAATGTAAAAAAGTATGCACTTTTATATATTTGAATAATTACATAATCAATAACGTCCATATGAGATGTGACCCCCTCAATGGTAGACCGGTCGTTTCTAGAAGAAAGTTGAATTAGCAATACAGTAGCTTAGTTTGAGTGTAATACACTTTAAATCCACTAGGTGGGATCAGACACACAGCGAGAGCTAGAATTACAAAAAAGTATGCAGCCAAACCATTTGAAAGATATATAAAAACCTTTATTCATAGAATTTACCAAGGTAGGTTAGGTGTGGCAGGTGTTTGCATACAAAACAAATGTGTATTCTTTTAAAATGGTGGATACAAACTGTAGTTATGTGTATCAGTAATACTGTGCTTTAGTTGATCTGTATTTCACATTGTAATGTCTGGTGTTTGACATGTCATCTGAATCCCCAGCCTCCACATGTGGGTGAGGTTAACATGGTTGGTTGTTGATATTCATTAATAGTCTGTGATGTGAGGCTTTGTATGGAGCTGTGAATGCGCCGGGTTCCAGGGTACCACGTCCTTCTCCATCCACTTGACCCATGATAATGTAGCTGCCACCTGTTGAAACAGAAGAAACCGTAAAAAAAGGTAGGTTATATATTTTGAGGGTAAATGGAATTGCTATTAAACTGTTTAGTGTTTTTGAATTCAACATACCTTTGCGGAGCAATGGGCACTTCTTGCACTGGGACACCAGTTTAACCGACATGGTTTCTCCCACTTGTGTGATTATCAGTCGACCTGCTTTGTAGGCCTTAGTGAGGGAGATTGTGACCACAAGAGTCCTTCGGGGCCCCGGGGCCAGAGAGGTCACCTTCCCAGTTATCACTGCAAAAAGAGCGCTCAGTCAGAATTTCTGATTGGTTTCTTCTTGCTATCTGAACAGTATGAAATTGACCACATTATTATTAATGTATACTTAAGTATTAAGATGTATCCATTATTTTATTTGTATTATTATTATTACTATTATTATTATTTCATTTCGGATTTGTCAACTGTTATGTAGTTAATGTATGTACTTAGATGTGTTTATTTTGTTATGTATGCTTTGTGAATAATTTCTTAAAATGCAGAAAAAAAGAAACTGAATAAAATAAATAAAATAAAATAAGAAGCTTACAAAATTCACTTGCACAGAAACTGGTCTTGATGGTTCCTTCTCTCTTGCAGGCTTTGGCACAGACAGGGTTTTGAGGGACTGGAACAATTAAGAAAGAATATAAAATGTCCTTTAGATATACATCTTCTGCAAATTAAAACACAAGTATGGCGACCACAAAACTTCACTCACCAGGCCTCTTTCCATTTGGTCTTGTGACAGGGACCCCTCTGTTGCCTTCTCCACGGCCCCTCGTGGGCTTCACTGGTTTGGTTGCCTCTGTGGGCACATATTTGGGTGGTGGTGCCGTAGCGACAGGTGCAGCCGGTTTTACAGCAGGTTTTGGGGGGATGGACCTGGTGCCCGCTCCTGAGTCGGATGTTGGTACCTGAGTACCAGGTGGGACGCTGGTGTATTCAGCAAAGAATCCATCCGATGTCACACTTTGGTCAGACACAAATTGAACCAGTAGCACATTGCTGCTGGTGATGATGGGCCTGGATATAAACAGAAAGGAGGTGAGGTAGAAGTTAAAGGAATACTTAACACACAATATTATAATTAATTTGTTCAATTACTCAACCCATATTACCAAGTAAATAAAACATTGTTTTTCTGGCATTCATGGTGAATAAAACAAAGACAAGTATTGAAGAGATGAAGAAAATGTGGGTCGCGTTTAACAGCAAAGCTATATAAAAAATGCAGAGGTTTAAAAGTGAGTATATGACTGGATGAATGACTTGTAACATACTGCAAGAGTTTTGTTAATGTTTGTAAACTGATTTTTTAAAAGATATTTCTTGTTGTCAAATTTGGTGCCCGTTTGTTTCAATTCATCAAGAGTTGTCCCAGTATTTTAATTCATAGTATATCATGGAAACAATTTTGATTAAAAAAAAATGTCTTCAAGAGTCTCAGATCAATTGCCCTTAACCAACAAAAGAGCAAATAGTTATTTATAATAACAAATAGTTTTTTTTGTAGGTAAAGTATTCCATCAAGAGAAGTCGATCAAAAAGCTTTAAGCCAACAAACATCTTTAGTAATCTGTCACTCACTGTGGGGCCCGATCTCCACAGTATTTCCCGATCAGCCGTGAATCATCTTTCTCTCCACCGTTAAAGAAGGCCACATAGTCAAACCGACAATAGGAATCACCCTCCAGGACAAACTTACCAAACGTAACCTGGATTACCTGGTAAATAAAAAGAACAAGATACAGAACTTCAAATAATCACTTGAACAGTTGTTGTCCAAGATGGTTGTGTAAAGACTTTGGGAAAGGATCTGTTGGGAGTGAAAGTGCTGCGGACCATGTCAGGCTCCACAGTGATGAGCCAGGAGCAGCTGGTCCCTGCAGGGTACTTGCTGTTGGGCCAGTTGGGCGTCTTGATCTCTCCCTTGGCCTTCGTTATCTTCCCCCCACAGAACTGATGGTCTGAAACAAGTCATACACTCTCTGTAAGAATAATGACTCAAGAGGAAGTAGACTTTAAGAAGTATAGAAACGAGTAATTTTCTCCCTACTTATGCCTTTTTTTGCATATATTTGACATATTTTACCTATGTCATGTTATCTATACTTTACTATGTCGTTTTTTGTGATATTTTCAACATTATATTCTATGTGGATTTTTTGTGATATTTTCGCCATACTATTTATTTTTTTGCGATATTTTTGACATACAAAACTGTTGTTTTTTCTGATATTTTCGACATATTTTTTACTATGATTTTTTTTATAATTAAGACATACTATACTATGACGAATTTTTCATACTTTCGACATACAATACTGTGTCATTTTTTAAATATTTTCGACATACAATACTATTTCATTTTTAGTTATATTCCCGATATTCTATACTATGAAGTTTTGTTTATATATTTCGACATACTCTACTATGTCCTTTTTAATATTTTCGACATACTATATACTTTGTCGATTTTCTTTTATATTTTCAAAATACTATACTTATCGTTTTTCTGATATTTTCGACAGACTATACCATATCATTTTTTGTGATATTTTCAACATGCTATACTATGTTGTTTAATGTTCATTAAAGAGTCTTAGTTCATATAGAATGTCATAAAGAAATATTCTTTGTTGTATAAGAGTTAGTGAAAAAGTGACGGTAAAATTACACAGTATAATTTGCAGTGGATATTTTACTTAAAAGTCATAGGATATAAAATATGTCATGACAAAGACCACAAAAGTGTTATAGATTAGTAAACCTCTAAAAAGTATTCAAAATAATTCTGACCACATACCATCTACATATGGTTTGGCTCCACTGAAGTAGGCCACAAACCCTCTGCCCTGCGTCGCCTCATCAGACCCCATCTCTAGCATCATGTTGTTTGTGGTGGAAATAAGAGCGCCAGGACGGAAAGTTCCACAAAAGCGGCCTAGTTTTTGCACCAGGTTGGACTGGCCATTGTAGACATCCAGATAGTCGTAGCGACATTGAGAATCAGCCTCCAGGTCAAATATTCGGAAAGTGAGCATGACTACAGTTCCCTCTGGGACCTGTAAAACAAAGACATTGTAGTCTATATGAGTCAGATGCTGGAAGGAAGGAGTCAGTATTTAGACATGTTGCAGGGTGACTGACTCACGGTGATACGCCAGGTACATTTACTGTTGGGTTTGTAAAAGCTTGGGAACCCCTCACTGCCAACAAAGCCTGAGTCTGAGACCAGGTCCCCCCCACAGTGGAACACAGGCCTGTGATGAAGGAAACACAGAGGTAGAAAATAGCATGGGCAGTTCTAACAGCATTGTAGGTCAATGACACAATAACACATGTGCACAAACCCAGAGTCTCTTTAAACTCCCACAGATCATTTTTGACTGACTTCCTTTAGCAGTTCTACTACTAGAGCTATTTTAGGAGTTACTGGAAAACTGAGTGTACTTAAGGTCAAGTACATAACAATTGTTCATTATCTGACGGCTGATCACAAGTTAATAACACTAACAGGGCGTTGCTGCTACATTTATTGTTGATTTCCATGAATTAAACGTAGCTTAAGCAAGGAGAATCAAAAAGAAAATAAGCATAGTCAACCCAACATCAAGCTATTTGTGTCAACAATTGAGCTCTGTACAGAATGTTTGATTAAGATGATTTATTAAAGACACCCTGTTTGCTTCTGGGGGTTTCCCCTTTCCTTTAGTGTGTTATATCGGTTTGTGTGCATGTAAATAGTCTGCAAAGGCTCAAATCTGCCTGAAACGCCTCCATTGGACTCCTTTGTTTACTTCTGTAACATAGTGACATCACTATGCAACACTCCTGCTTCCATTGGCTAGCTCTTCGTCACATTATACTGATAGGCTAAGGGGCGGGACATCCCTAACTGAGCCAGCCAGCTAACAAATCAGAGCAGACTGGGCTCTGGTTTCAGACAGAGGGTGAAAAGAGGTGCTGCAGCACAGGCAGTATGAGAACAATAAAGAGCTTTTTGAACATTAAATCATGGAGACATGTCACAGTAGAGACACAAAATACAATTATGAACCTGAAAATGAAAATAATGGGGCCCCTTTAACATGGACTCTTATTCCCTAGCTCATATTTAATTCTAAATCAGAAAAATATTACAGCCTTAAACAAAATATGTAAGGCCTCACTTTATTTGAAAAGTCACATGATGATGCTGACTGTTAAAATAAATAAATGAGTCACTATCAAATAAACAGCTTATGAAAAAATGGTGTTGTGTTTTATATAGGAGTTGCCATACATGTGATAGCTTGCGAGCCACATGCTTTGGTTTATTACAGCTGTTGTCAGCTGGCTGATTCAGTGTTAGCTCTGCAGCATTTTGTTTGAATGTTTCCCATAGAAGCAACTCTGTAAAGAACATAATGACATATACGTGTTTTCTATTGTTGCCTCGATTTCAGTCTACAGCTGGCAATAACATTTTACAGCTGACAAACTGATCCAACAACGTCATTGTGCTACTTTCTCTAGTAGCTGTTGGAGGACTTGTTTATTCTATGATCTTGACACGGACCACTATTGCGGTAAGCATGTTGTAACTTCCGGTTGTTGTAATCTTCGGGTATCCCGTGTGCCTGTTCTGTTGCTGATAGCTTATTATCTTAATTTAATCGATCGTTTTAAAACTCTTGATCACGGCAACTGCCTGACGTTGTAATCACACGTTACTACAGCTTAAGCACTCACAACTCTCCTTCTCTTAGCGACTGTAACTCCACAGTTGCCTACACTCTTTTCGGGTTTGCTAAGGGTAGCTACTTTAGCTTGATAGCTAGCCATGGCTCTTTCCCCACCCTCGGGTGCTATTTCCTGCTCTAACTGTCTCATGTTTGGTTACTTCCCTACCTCCTTTACTGGTACCGGTACATGTGTTAAATGTAGTATAGTTGTTAGGTTGGAGGCGGGAATCATAGCCATAGAAGCCCGGCTCCGCATCTTAGAAAGTAACTCAGCTACAGTAAAGCCCATGTTAGCCGGTGCGGAACGGCAAAAGCTAGCTCCTATTAGCCGTCCCCCGGCAACTCCCGAGCAGCAGGGAGACTGGGTGACTGTTCAGAAGGGGCATAACGCGAAACCCGCAGGTCCCCACCAACCCGTTCACGTATCTAACAGATATTCCCCACTCAGCGAGACACCCGCTGAGAAGCCAACTCTGGTTATTGGTAGCTCTATTATGAGACACGTGAATTTAGAGACCAAAGCCTCCACAGTCACATGCATTCCGGGGGCCAGAGCGGGCGACGTTGAGGCGCATCTTAAACTGCTGGCTAAAAATAAACGTAAATACAGTAGGATTGTTATTCACGTCGGTGGTAATGATGTTCGTGTACGCCAATCAGAATGCACCAAACTTAATGTGGAGTCGGTGTGTAGTTATGCTAAAACTATGTCGGACACCGTAATCTTCTCTGGTCCCCTCCCCAATCTGATCAATGATGACATGTATAGCCGCATGTCATCATTTCAGCGCTGGTTGTCTTGGTGGTGCCCAGCAAACAATGTGGGCTTCGTAAATAATTGGACAGCCTTCTGGGGAAAACCTGGTCTGATTAAGAGAGACGGCATTCATCCTACTTTGGAAGGTGCAAATCTCATTTCGGCAAACATTTCAGGGTTTTGTGGACTTAATCCATGACAAACTGGAGTTGAGACCAGGAGGCGGAGTCGCAGTCTTACACGCTTCTCTGCGCTCTCTCCTAGGCAGTCATCCATAGGAATCCCAAACCCAATAAAATACCCAATATTAGCGGTGTGTGTGTCTGCCCAAGGACAATTTAAGGTAAAACCTAATAGAGGTGTCATACATAATAACCTAATAAAAGTAAATGTAACAACTAGGGCCTACTACAGTGCAACAAAACAGGAATATTAAATGTGGTCTCTTAAACATAAGATCTCTAGCATCTAAAGCAATATTGGTAAATGATTTAATATCAGATTATAATATATATATGCTGTCTCACTGAAACTTGGTTGAGACATGAAGAATATGTCAGCATAAATGAGGCCACTCCACCCAGCCATATCAATACTCATATTGCCCGAGGCACGGGCCGAGGAGGTGGAGTTGCAGCAATCTTTGACTCAAGTTTACTTATCAATACTAAACCAAAATTAAATTATACCTCCTTTGAAAGTCTCGTTTTTAGTCTTACGCATCCGATCTGGAAAACTTTGCAGCCAATCTTATTTGTTACTGTGTACCGTGCACCAGGTCCTTATTCAGAATTCTTATCAGAATTCTCTGAGTTTTTATCAACTTTGGTACTTAAAACAGATAAAGTAATTATCGTAGGTGACTTTAATATTCATGTTGACGATGATAAAAATAGCCTTACTGTTGCATTTAACTCTATCTTAGATTCTGTTGGTTTTTGTCAGAGTGTAAATAAACCAACCCACTGCTATAATCACACTCTCGACCTTGTTCTGACTTATGGTATTAAAATTGAGCAACTATTAGTTGAACCGCATAATCCTGCTTTATCCGACCATTTCTTAGTAACTTTTGAAGTACTGTTACTAGACTACAAAGCATTAGTCAAAAGCTCCTGCAGCAGAAACCTATCTGTTAGTGCTATAGCCAAATTTAAGGAAGAGATTCCACCAATACTTAACTCGATAGCATGTCTGCATGTAAGGGAGGAAACTTATACAAAATGTACACCACCCCAAATTGATCATGTTGTTTGATAGTGCTCCAGATGCGCTGCGAATAAAATTAGACTCTGTTGCTCCTTTGAAAAAGAAGAAAATAAAACAACATAGATTAGCTCCATGGCATAATGCCGAAACCCGCAAAATAAAGCAAAAGTCGAGACAACTTGAAAGGATATGGCGTTCCACTAAACTTGAAGAATCTCGTTTAATTTGGCATATTACTCGCAATGAATATAAGAAAGCACTGCGTAAAGCGAGAGCAGCCTACTACTCTTCATTAATAGATGAGAATAATAATAATGCAAGATTTCTTTTCAGCACTGTAGCCAGGCTGACAGAAAGCCACAGCTCGATTGAGCCTTCTATTCCCATAGCACTCAGTAGTAATGATTTTATGTGCTTTTTTAACGATAAAATTGTTACTCTTAGAAACAAAATTAATGACCTCTTGCCTTTGACCAGTATAGTGTTATCAACAGCTCCCGGAAACCTAAGTTCTAATATTACACTAGATAGTAAACTAGAATGCTTTTCAGCCATAAACCTTGAACAATTAAATTCAATGATTCTCTCTTCTAAACCATCAACGTGTATGTTAGACCCAATTCCAACTAAGCTGTTGAAGGAAGTTTTTTCATTAATTAGCACTTCTTTGTTAAATATTATGAATATGTCTTTATTATCAGGCTATGTTCCACAATCATTCAAAATCGCAGTGATAAAACCGCTTCTTAAAAAGCACAACCTCGATCCAGAGGTTTTAGCCAATTATAGACCTATTTCTAATCTTCCGGTCCTCTCAAAAATTCTTGAGAAAGCGGTCGCAAAACAGTTGTGTGATTACTTAAAAAACAATGATTTATTTGAAGATTTTCAGTCTGGCTTTAGAACACATCATAGCACAGAGACAGCTCTGGTTAAAGTCACAAATGACATTCGAATAGCCTCTGACAAGGGACGTGTCTCTATTCTTGTTTTGCTCGATCTCAGTGCTGCATTTGATACTATCGACCATGATATCTTATTGCAAAGACTAGAGCACTTAGTTGGCATACAGGGAAATGCTTTAGGCTGGTTTAGGTCCTATCTATCTGAACGCTCTCAGTTTGTACGTGTCAACGATGAATCTTCCACGCAAACCAAAGTTAGCCATGGAGTGCCACAGGGCTCAGTGCTCGGACCTATTTTGTTCACATTATATATGCTTCCGGCAATATTATAAGGAATCATTCTGTAAATTTTCATTGTAATGCGGATGATACTCAACTATATTTATCAATCAAGCCTGATGAAATTAATCATCTAAATAAAATTCAAGACTGCCTCAAGGACTTAAAAACATGGATGACCTTAAACTTTTTGATGTTAAACATGACCAAAACTGAAGTTATTGTACTTGGCCCAAAGAATCTACGAAACAAATTATCTAAGGATATACTAACTATGGATGGCATTAATTTGGCCTCCAGTGAGACTGTAAGGAATCTTGGTGTTATATTTGATCAGGATTGATCCTTTAACGCCCACATAAAATCAATTTCAAGGACCGCCTACTTCCATCTACGTAACATTGCAAAAATCAGGCATATCTTGCCTCAAAACGATGCAGAGAAACTAGTCCATGCATTTGTTACTTCAAGGCTGGATTATTGTAACTCTTTATTATCAGGGTGTACCAAGAAGTCAGTCAAGTCGCTTCAGCTGATTCAAAATGCTGCAGCTCGTGTACTAACCAGAGTTAGGAAAAGGGACCACATTACTCCTGTTCTGGCTGCCTTACACTGGCTCCCTATAGAACACAGGATAGAATTTAAAATTCTTCTTCTCGCCTACAAAGCCCTTAATGGGCAGGCGCCATCTTACCTTAAAGAACTCATACTGTCCTACTAGGGCATTGCGTTCCAAGAATGCAGGGTTGTTGGTTGTTCCTAGAGTCTCTAAAAGTACAATGGGAGCCAGAGCCTTTTCTTATCAAGCTCCACATTTGTGGAATCAGCTTCCAGTTTGTGTTCGGGCGGCAGACACCCTATCCGTTTTTAAGAGTGCGCTTAAGACCTTCCTTTTTGATACAGCTTATAGTTAGGGCTGATTAGATTCAGCCCCTAGTTTTGCTGATATAGGCTTAGTTTGTCGGGGGACATCTTACTTCTTCCTTCTCTCTGTCTATACCTGTGTACTCTCATGTTCCGATTAACCCAGCTTCCCCAAATGTATTTCTTTTTGGTGTCTATATACGCTGGGATCCGGAGTCATGGATGATCCTGCGCTCCTGTGTCCTGCATCGCGAGCCCTGGATCTTGAATCGTGGCTGTGGTCCTGGATCATAGGTCCTGGATGGATATCCTTGTGGATTCATCTTCCTATTATACACACATGCATTTCCAAACATTTGGACTACCTATGTTGCAAATGTATTATCTTTTCAATTTACACACGGCATCTATTGCATGTCTGTCTGTCCTGGGAGAGGGATCCCTCCTCTGTTGCTCTCCCTGAGGTTTCTCACATTTTTCTCTTTAAACTGTGGGTTTTCTCTGGAAGTTTTTCCTTGTACGATGTGAGGGTCTAAGGACAGAGGGTGTCGTATTGTCATACTGATATTCTGTACAAACTGTAAAGTCCACTGAGACAAATGTAACATTTGTGATATTGGGCTATATAAATAAACATTGATTGATTGATTGACTGTTGCTTTCCAAACATTCACAGAGCTCACTGACTTTCAAAACATGAACATTCCTATAACAGGCTGTTGCAGGCAGGGATGCGAAAAGCCCATCTATGAGCCAACAAAGAATATGCCTGTTATTGTAAAATGTTATTTCTTCATGTTCAAATATTCAGAAAAAATAATGTGGTCTATATTACTGTCATATTACTCATGACATTTCACAAGAAGCAACAAGGTTACATTGACATCCCCCATCCTGAAGTAGTAAACATGTGGTTGCAGTGGAACAACATGCTTCCCACAAGCTCAGGCAGCAGAACCCCAGCAAAGTCAGACGCCTGCTGATTAAAGTGAAAATGTCCACAGCGAATGATTCGACCCCACAGGCACAACCACAAACATTCACATATGTAGCGGCTGAGCCACTGCAGACTCAGCATGCCTCACATCACGAGCCAAAAACCAACAGGACAGACTCTGTGCCCAATCAAACAGTGAAGTGGAAAGAATTTGCAGACAAAGACAGGAAGGAATTCACAGTGTTTCAGTCCTGACACTGCTGGCTGTTGTGAAGCTGATTAGCTGATTTCTCAAGCTAAGAAAAGTAGCCTTTCCTAAAGTATTTAAAACAAAGATTAATTAATTAAAGCTGACACTGTCCATGAGACATTCCTGAAGCCTCGTCCTCACCTGGTGTAGTTGCTCTGCTGAGCCCGGGTCCATCCTAAACTCAGAGACAGGAACAGGCAGAGACCCCAGATGCAGTCCACATTCACCATGATGCAGCGTTCACAAAAAGCCAAGCAGACTGTTGCACAAATAAGGGGATGGTAGCAGGAGGCAAGAGGAGTCAGATAAGAGGGGGGGGGGGGGGGGGGGGGTGGGGAGGCTTTGCTTGTTCGGGATAGGCGGAGAGTATGAAGGAGGGGGGGAGAGAGTTCTAGAATGGATGAAGAAATGGACAGAGATGCTGAGCGGACGACAGCAGTGACAGAGAGGCACAAGGGGAGGGGGGAGCAAAGGCTATAATTAAAGCCAGATGTTTCACCATAATAATCCTGGCTTCAATATAGCAGAGAGGACAGGAGATGCACGGGGTGGGGGGCGGGGGGGTTAAGAATTTGTGGCTGAGGTTTTTTGCGGACATTGAGAAACTTTGTTGTTACTTTTTACAACAGGTTTCTGGTTCTCCACGTGGTTGAAACTTCAGCTACAGAGGCTTTATGTCTGGTTTGAATAGCTACTCGCTCAGCCGTTAACGTCCATACTGAGTCCCTGCCTGATCATTATGCGGAGTGCACAGCCCGGCTCTATAGGCTGTAGTGCTCAACCATTAAACCATAAATCTTTACATTCCACAACAACTCCCCGGGCATTAACCTCGTGTTCCATGCACTGGTCAATTTTGAGATCTGTTTTGACCATTTTGCTTCCATAACATTTCTTCTTTCAGAAATAGGAAGCCTCCACAGAACAGATTTAGAAGTGATATTTGACTTCACTATTTTAGTAGAGTCTTCAGATTTTTCTTAAATTCACCAAAAGTTAGCATTAGAGAAAGCTAGGTCAGGTGAATTGGGTTCTTGCTCATTGTGTTGAATTCAACATAACATTTTTCAAAATGACTTTTTGCTCATTCTCTGGCATTATCCATCTGATAGATATGTTCTGATAATATAATGCAAATTAACTTAATACTTGAGATTACTTAAGATAATGCCTTATTTGCACATTTAAACATCATACTTTAGAAAATGCAATAAAATAAAGATGGCCTTATTGGAAGTAAGCAACTGGGGAAGCTCCATGAAGTTATCTAATTCAAAATGTCATCCTATTAAACTGAAGTTTCTCCCATTTGCAAAACAGAATGGTTTCTTGATAGAATGATGAAGTCTAGACATAAATGATCATCCAAAATAAGCTCCAATACGACCTAGACAATATTGTTAAAATTAATTATCTCTGTCCTTACTGTATTTCCCTCAGCCCCACTGGCTCCTTTGGCTCCAACACATATGAGTCAGAGTGTCTATTTGCTCTCGCAATACGAGGGAAGAAAAACAGTCGGGGGGTGGGGGGGGGGAGGTATTCTTTCACTGTTAAGATTCACTAGCAAGCAAACCCTGTGGCCTACATTACTGAGGCCTGTGGTGGGGGGGGGGGGGGGTGCTGTTTCAATTGGCAGAGCTGCAACATTATGATCAAAGTCTGGAGCAGGCATGATGGACAGCTAATACAAGTTAGAAACAGAGAAGTCGTGTCTCCAGATTCACGTAACATATGAATTAAAAAGTCACTGAAGTGTTCACAGCGAAGAAATGAGCATTCCCTACTCATGCTGTGCTGTGTTTGTGTTAACTCAAAATCTTGATAAGAGGCAGCAGAAGCAGGAATGCAATGACGTGCCGAGTCTGCTGGGGGGGGTTTGCGTCTGTGAGTGCAGCCACAGCCATTATGAGTGGGAGTAATAGTGACCTTTACTCTGAGCAGAAATTCAAGCAAAGGGTGTACGTTTCTGCAATAACTCCTTAGGATCCCATGGAGTTGAATGTGCATTCCTTTTGGAGAAGTCAAAGGGAATGGCAGTGCAGGGGAGAAGCTAATGATTAAGGGGAGAGGGGGCGAGGGGGTGGAGGAATTGAGAAACATGGAAAACAAACTTTAAATGAACTGACACAGAGACCAGAGTTTTTTTTCACATGCACCCTGGAGTAAGGTCATGTTCAGGCCTCCCTGAGCCAACTGATGGTGTGTTATTACTCCACACCTTCTCTGTGCAAATGACTCTTAAATGACTTAAATCACTGCTCAATGTGGCGCTGCTTTGAAGAGCTGGAAAAGCGAATAACGTACGGTGCAGTTGTGTGAGTCCATTTGGAAAGGTGACAGACCGAAACTAATAATTTCCTATCAATCGTATCCATCTGTTCTCTGTAATTGTGGTTCCTCTCAAGTTCACTATCCGGCGTTTATAAAAAAATCAGCCTATAAATCAGGAAGGCAGGGCAATGTACTCGGCCAAATGTTCAAGTGACCTCAGCCATAAATAGGAACGCATGCAAAGAGATGAAGACTTCAGAGAAATGATGTCCCTATAGTGATAATCTGAGACATCCTACAAGAGCATTACAGATGGAGCCAGGCACCGCAGCACTCCGAACATTTGTCATCATCACTATCATCTGAGTTATCTCAAAGAGAGGAAGGCATTAAAGCATTACTGTCCACTCCATGAGAACTGACAACCCTGTTCTGTCAGTTTGGACAATGTGCTAAAGAGCTCACCTCATTTGGCATTAGCAGGGTATTGAATTGATATCTTATTAAAAACGTGGTAGATACACGTGTTTTACACAGCCTTCCCTTACTTTTCATGGAAAGCGCTCAGGAGACACATGCAAGTAATTGCAAAGATGTTAATGACAATAGCACAGCTTGGAAAGTAAATTCCTTACACAGTGGAAACAGAAATACCCAATATGCTGCTCTGTATTTAAATGATTAAAAGCACAGCAGAATCTTCCGTCTTCCTCACAGTCATGCATGACCAGGAGGATAGTCTTACCCTCCATTGAACACATTCACAGTGTGTGTGGGTCCACAATATGTGCATGGTGACACCTGGTGATGACATTTTGAAATTACAGGTACGTTCATTGGACTTCAAAGTGTCAAGTTAACATGTATTTTCATTATTTTCCATGGACTAACCCTTTTCCTCATTCACAATTAGTTCTAACGTAATTTTTCTATTAAAGCTAATGTGACATAAAAAGACCAGACACTATGAGACATACTACAGAAATATTCAATAACTTCTTTCTCATTCAGTTAAGTGTTACCAATATTAGTTCACGTGTTAATGGTCTCCTACTGGTTATAATATAATATCATCTTCTTCAATCCATATTGATTGTTTAGTTTTGTGATAGAAAGTACAGCATGAAACTTATAGACCAGGGGTGTCAAACTCAATTTCATCGCGGGCCATTATGGTTGCACTCAAAGGGGCCGGTTGTAACTTTAAGACTACATAAATATACATATATAAATATATCATATATTTTATTACATTATTGCCTCTGCATTGAATTATTATCGGATAGGGTAATAACTTCATAATTAACTACGTCTGAAAGCAGAAGTCTAGGGCAAGTAATTGCAACACTCTTCAGTGCGCATCACAAAACGTTATGCATTGTGGGACATGTAGTTTATGGGCAAGGTGCTTCTGTAAAGCGGCATATAAACGTATAATAAACGTATTATATTCTTTGCAAGCTCTCTCACATAAAATGAGGCCCGCGGGCCAAATCCGGGCCCAGTTATAGAGCATTAGATATGGACCATAGACTGTATTTATAAAGGATATAGATAGACCATAACCTAGCTGCTTAGAATAATTATATATATATATTGCATTTTAGTCATCCATAACAGTTCACATGAATGTGTGTATTTTTCTTTTTTTAACTGGTGAACTTTTCAAAGAACAGAATGCAAATGTGAAATGTGGTCGTTTTCAGGTGTATACTTGTACATTGGGTTTCTACTTAAACATGTTTAGATGCTTCAATGTTCTACAGACACTTTCTTTCTCTCATACTGCCTACCTGAATATACCTTCATTCAACCTTTTTCTGGAACGCTCTGTTTTGGCGCCTGTCTCTTTAAGAACCCCTCCAAAAAGGCCCAGGCTGCTCTGATTGGTCAGCCGTTTAGGGACACACTGCATTTGCTCTCTCTGAATATTTGTAATAACTTTGCTCATTTTGAATGCTGTAAGCCTTAGGGCACTTTAGTTTGCTTTCTCTCTTCTTGAATACAGGAAGTGTTCCAATCGTCTATGGATTAGCTTTTCCGATTGATATAGCACCGACTTGATTCATGAAGTAAAAAACAAGGATCAAATGGGAAATCTAACATAGCATGAATGAACAGAACCTTTATATTCTGGCATCTAAAACGTTTCACAATACATTTGTATTTTGCATATTATGAACGACAGAAACTTGACTTTCTTTGGCAACACATTCATTGTATGCAGACCAATACAGAACAAATGACCGACTCATCAACGCATAGAGAAATTCAGCCTTTATTGATTGTAAAAGATCCTCCAAAAACATGTATTTCTTGTCAAAAGAAAAAAATTAAAACGTTATAAGTCACAGTTGCTTTCAATGGCCCTTCGTTTGACCTTTTGAATGTGTTCGCAGTCAGATGGACAACACAGCAGTGGCCTACAGAACTGACAGGCAAATGTTACGATCACTGGCTGTCAATTCATAGGTCATCCCCTTGTGTCCCATTGCCCTTCATCTACTTTGAAATAAAAAGGACTACCTCTGGAGTCCTTCAGGCGTTGTGTTCTTTCGGTGGCTCTCTGCAGGTAACAGCACCTCCACTGGAACACTCACAGCTTCCACATGGAGTTGCTGTTACATCCAGCGAGCACCAGGAGACTGACAGCAAATTGCAGCTTCCCCAAACATGTGGACCAACCTTTTATGAGACCACACTTCCAGCTTCTTCAGCCGGGGTTGGGTGCTAGTGCGGAAGTACCTGAGAAAGGAGAAAGAGGAGAAAGAGGAGCAAGAGACCGGTTAACTAAAGATTTTGACTTGGAGGCAGTTGCTTATGAGTCCCCATTTGGAAGTGACTTTGACCCAGCAATTTCCTCCTCCCAGTTTTTATTGCCTCAGGTAGACGGCATCATTTGCTCACACTCTTCCAACAGCACGGCCAATGGGCCAAGGCCTGTATAGATAACACAGATTTTATGGTTGCTGTCAACATGAGAGCGCCTTTCAATAT